GCGCGGTGCTGGGCTTGGTCCTCATGAGCTACCTGACGTGGACCTGCGCCGGCCTCAGTTTCCCCTCCTGCCTCAAGAGGGGCACACAGATGGGGCCGTCACTCTTTCAGAGCCTGCGGGCCCTCCTGTCCCGGAACCCCCTGGAGTCGCCCCCAGTGTTGCTGGGAGCGGGCGGGGAGGGGCTTGCCCCGTGCCCCTGTGCTGCTCCGACAGGCATTGACCGTCCTGCCTCAGCTCCTGCGCAGTAGGAGAGGTCAAGGCTCTGCACGTGGTTTGCGGGCAGACAGGTGGGGACCTCTTCCCGAGCAGGCCCCCTCCCCACTCCATGGCAGTCTGAGAGCCCCTTGGACCCTGAGCCTGCTGTGCAGGGATCCGCAGACCCCAGGGCTTCCATCCCGCACCTGGGTCCCTGCCCAGAGGTGCTCAGGCCGCCCCGTCACCGGCCCTTGGGAACCTAGTCCCCCATCTGCCTCCCAGGGTGACACCGGCTTGTGCCTTCGGGTCTGTGCGGAGCGTTTTTTTTTTTTTTTCCAGCTGTGCAGGTCTGATTCCCAGGACCCACTGCGCCGCAGGACCCTACAGCAGTTGTAGACAGAAACCAGGCGAGACCACTAACCACGGCCAGCAGGGGGCAGGAGAGAGGCGAGGGGCTGGCTTGAGTGAGAAGTCAGGGTCCGCTACCTCCAGGCTGGTGGCCCTGGGGCAGTCACTGCTGCTTCAGTTACCTCATCTATAACATAAGGACAGGCAGGGCGGGGTGGGACACCTGTAATCCCAGCATTCAGGAGGCTGAGGCAGTAGGATTGCCGAGAAGTCAAGGCCAGCCTACAGAGGGAGACCCTGTCTCAGGAAAAAACACCAAACCAAACCAAAAGGTTTGGGGAGGATAAGAAGAGGGGCCGGGGGACTTCCAGGATGCTGGCAAGGGCAGCAAGCTACCCTTGAAGGACTCTGCAGGGATCCCCCATCTCCAGGGGCCAACTGGTCTGACCAAGCACCTGGCTTTACCCAAAGCACATGGCTTTGTCCAAACAACCTGGACCAGGTGGTTTGGTCCTCCCAACCCAGGTCACAGAGCACAGCACACTGATCCTGCCAACAGTCCTTTATTGAGTACTTACTCTGGCTGGTGACCCCAGGGTGGGAGGGTCACTCAAGCCCTAACCCTAACCCTAACCCTAACCCTAACCCTAATCCTAACCCTAAGCCTAACCCTAAGCCTAAGCCTAAGCCTAAGCCTAACCCTAACCCTAACCCTAACCCTAACCCTAACCCTAACCCTAACCCTAACCCTAACCCTAACCCTAACCCTAACCCTAACCCTAGGCCTGTGGCAGCTCAGCAGGGAGGATGAGGCAGGACAGCCCAGGAGGAGGAAGGGAAACCCAGTGGTGCTGCGGTCTTCCTCTCTGGCAGTGACTCCTCTCCCCCTGGGACCTTTCCAGGACAGCCCGGCGCCAGCAGCTGTGCTGAGGTGTCCACAAGCACCTCCAGCTGTGGCTCCAGGGTGACCTCATGTCTGGAGTGAGCCCTGAGGTCGCGCCGAGGCGGGGCCTGGTGGCCACTGCTGGCAAGAGCTCCAGCTCCGGCAGCCACGCCCGGGTCTGGATTCAGCGCCTCCCAATTTCCACCCCCGAGAAGGTGGCCAAGGTGTCGGTGACAGGTCTCAGCCCATGATGGCGTTCCGGCCTCACCTCTGCCGTGTGAGGGCTGAAGACTCCTTCCTGGGCCTCTGCCTGTGACCCTAACCGAGGCCACCTCGAAGAGCCCAGGCCTGGGGCTCCCGTGTGCAGACAGCCCAAGCCCGGGCGGGCTGGCCCTGTGCTGGCGCAGGCTCAGGCTTGGAGCCCACCAGGGCGGGCCGCAGAGGAGGCTGCTCTCCTGCATGCGTGGGAGACGTCGCCCGGCCCAGGGCAGAGCAGATGCGGCTCAGGTGGGGGAGGCGCTCGGAGGGAGAGAGCCCTGCGTTTCTGTGCGGGGAGCCCTGCGTTTCTTTCTCGTCTTCCTTCTTCCAGTGCTGGGGACTGAGTCCAGGGCCTCTGCTCTGAGCTGCACCCCCATCCTTTTTATTTTCTATTCTGAGACGGGTCTCACTAAGTCACTAAGTTGCCCAGGCTGGATTTAAACTTGCGATCCTCCTGCCTCGGCCTCCCAGAGTGCTGGGATCACAAGCGTGCTCCGCCATGCCCAGCGCTCTCACTATTTGTCAGGATAATGCGGATAATGAGAACTCTGCCTGCCAGAAAGGCGGAGGGGAAGGGCACACCAAACCCGAGGCTCAGAGTGTGACGCGGCAGGGCACACACAGAGCTGCGAGCTGGGCAGAACTGGACGGGGGCGTGGTCACCTGCCGGTGGCTCTGGGGTGAGGGGCCCTGGAGGTCCCGAGCCTGCTAGGATCACCACCTCCGCCTGGGTTCCGGAAGCCGAACACAGGCAGAGCTCTGGGGCTCTTCCCTTACCAGGGTGATGAACCCCGGAAGCAAGAGGAGGTCCGTGGGGCAGGGAGGATGTGGGTGTGCTGGACGTGGGGCGGGGAGCCTGTTGGTGGGGGATGCCCACACAGAGCTGGCAGAGGTGCTCGAGGGGCCTGAGTGCATTTATCTCCTAGAAGACTGTGCTGGCAGCGCTACTCGGGGATGGCCCAGGGTCCTGCCTGGGAGGGGCTGAGCCTGAGGGGACCCATGGGCCTGGGGTCACCACGGTGCTGGAGAGAGTGGGGCTATCTTGACATCAGTCTCAAGACTTCTCCAAGCAGAGTGAGATGGTGCACACTTGGGATCCCAGCTGAGATGGTGCACACTTGGGATCCCACACTTGGGAGGCTGAGGCAGGAGGATCACAAGTTCCAGGCCAACCTTGTATTAAAAAAGAGGCCCTTTTATATTAGTCGTCTGATCAAAGTGCTGAATAATACCATGGTGGGGTGGGGCTGGAGCCTCAGTTTCCCCACCAGCAGCTCACTCCCCTTTGGGGAGAGCTCATGCATGTTAAGTGAGTGACAGACAGGAGCCTTCGCTGCAATGAACCAAGCTGAACAAAAGCTGCCTGTGTGAGTGGTTCGGCACCCTCCCTCTACTCCCTGTGGGCCTACTGTGTGCCGGGCTCTCAACAGGGCTCCGGCAGACAGCAGCAAACAAGACAAACACAGCCTTCCCCCACAGAATGCCATTCTGAGGAAGGGCCAGCGATAAACTGGCAACAAACTCACTCATTATAATGTCAGGTCAGGTGAGACCTTTCATTAAACTGAGGATTGAACCCAGGGCCTTTGCAGGGAGCCACACCCCCAACCCCCTTTAAAAACTTTTTAACGTTTTGAGACAGGGTCTCCATGATTTGCCCAGGGCTGGGCTTGACTTTGAGACTCCTGCCTCAGCCTCCCAGTGGTACGGTCACAAGTGTGTGCCTCCACGCCCCTGGGGCTATTGGCTCAAACAGAAGAATTAAGGCAAGGAGATAAGAGTACGGAGAGGAACTGGCCATGGCTGTGCACACCTGCAATCCCAGCACGGTGGGAGGCTGAGGCAGGAGGACTGCAAGTTTCAGCCCACCCTGGGTAACTTAGTGACTTAGCAAGACCCTGTGTCAAAACAAAAAGGGCCAGGGAAGCAGCTCCGTGCCAAGGACCTGGGTTCGATCCCCAGCACCGAGAGAAAACAGTGGGCCTGCGGAACTTGAGGCATCCTGGTATTAGGTGGCCCGGTCTGCACTAGGAGGGTGCAGGCTGGGCCTCGGGGACCCGCCCAAGGCCACACAGGCGTCGGGGTCTCCATGCGCATCCCTGAGTCCTCAGCGCCCTTGTCCCCACAGGAGTGCTCACCCTTCGCTGCCCACCTCTACGACGCGGAGGACCCGTCCACGCCCCTGCGCACGCTGCCCGGGCTGTGCGAGGACTACTGTCTGGACATGTGGCACACGTGTCGCGGCCTCCTCCACCACCTGTCGCCCGATCCCGAGCTCCGGGCGCTGGAGGGCGACCGCGCCAAGCTCTGCCGCTACCTCTCCCTGGACGACGCGGACTACTGCTTCCCGCGCCTGCTGGTCAACCAGCAGCTCAACTCCAACCTGGGCCGCGTGGGCGCCGACGCGCGGGGCTGCCTGCAGCTGTGCCTGGAGGAGGTGGCCCACGGGCTGCGCAACCCGGTGGCCATGGTGCACGCGCAGGACGGCACGCACCGCTTCTTCGTGGCCGAGCAGCTGGGGCTGGTGTGGGTCTACCTGGCCGACCGCGCGCGCCTCAAGAGGCCCTTCCTGAACATCAGCCGCGCCGTGCTCACCTCGCCCTGGGAGGGCGACGAGCGCGGCTTCCTGGGCCTGGCCTTCCACCCGCGCTTCCGCCAAGCCCGCAAGCTCTACGTCTACTACTCGGTGGGCACCGACGTTCGCGAGTGGATCCGCATCAGCGAGTTCCGGGTCTCCGAGGAAGACGAGAACAGCGTGGACCACGGCTCCGAGAGGTGGTGCCCGGGCGGGGGCGGGGCCCAGGGCCGCGCATGTCCAGTGCGGCCCTCTCCGCGCTCAGCCATGCGCCTGGGGCCGGTCGGTCTGCAACACCGGGGTGGCCGGGACTGTGTCCCCGAGGCCAGCGCTCTGCTGCAGGCCTCGAGATAGTGCCCTTCACTGGACAGTGAGGTCAGAACCATCAGTTCCGGGTGTAGACGAGGAGGGGTCGGTGTGATGCTCATGGGTGTAGATCGGCAGGTAAAGGCTCCAGGAGGCGAAGAGACCCGCAGGCCTCCCAGCAGGAAGCCTGGGAGTCAGAACCGTTGGGTCGGGAGCTCACCCACGGCTGGCACCGGCCCCCTCCTGGCCCAGTGCCACGGTCCCGCCACGCCCCGCCCCGCCCCGCCCCGCAGCTGCCCCTCCACACTGCATCCTTCGCCCCGCGGCGAGTACCCTGCCACGCCCACAGAGCCTTCTGCTGGACGTTTGTGCACCAGCTCTTTTCAGGGAAAGGAAACTCGGTGTCCGAGGGTCCAGAGGAGAGAATCGCCCCTGGGAATGAATCGTAAGGGGTGGAGGGGCCTGGGGTAGGGAGGAGGCTGCCCTCCCTCGGGCTGAGGGGACAGAGATGGGCTCCGGAACCGAGCCCACCCGCCAAGCTGGAACCACACTAGGCTGCCTGTGAGGACAGGAGCCTGGAGGGGGTGGGGCTGCTGGACCCTCCCCGCCCAGGCTCCTGCCAGCCTGCCCTGGCCCAAAGGTTCAGCTAGCAAAGGAGCATGGAAAATGCAGTTTTCGGGCGCTGTCCCGCTCCCCACTTAAAGAGGTAAGGGCCAGGTCAGAACAGTGTCTCAGCAGATGGGCAAACAACAGCACGTGGTGTGCGTGTTTGTAAAATGTTGACATCAAATATATAAAGAGGACGAGGAAACAAATATGCCAGCTTTGAGGGCCAGTGTGGATTTTGTCATAGCAGTTACTTTTGTGAGCTTCCTAGCAGCCTGAGAAACAAGAGAAGTCCTCACTCGCGTGACCTTCAGCGAGCCTGTAAAGCCGTTTCTCCACGAGAGGCCACAAGTGGACATGACAGAGGGAGGACAGGGGGCAGAATGGACGCATCAACAGTGACTTTAAAAACATCCGGCCCTGAGAACGGAAACTGGAACAACACAGAGGGAGGGACCTGTTTGAGTGGGGTTCAGCAAGGGTCCTTTCGGGGGTGCCACTTACTCCAGCTCAAAACCTGGCTGGAGGCTGGCCTTCTGCAGGGAGGTTTCTCTGTGCTGTTGGAGCGAGGGATTAGTAACCCAGGCCGGGGAGCCTGGATGACCTTTTGAACATGCGTGCCGGATGTGCTGGGCTTAACTCTCGTATGCAGGACGCGGCGGGGCAGGATGACGATGTCACATAATCATAGGTGCAGAAGAGTAGAGGAATCACTGGGCCGGAACTAGGAGACCTGACCTCCAGTCCCAGCCTTGCTGCCTCTGGGCTGTGTGGCTTTGAGCAAGTCACTCAACCTCTCTGGGCCTCCAGATGGCCCTGGACATGATGGGGTGGGTAGCAGATCCCTGCCCAGCCCTCCCTCCCAGGTCCTTGTGAAGGAAAGGCATGAAGGCTTTCTTCCACCACAAAATGACGTTGGGGAGTAAGGAGGCGCTTGCAGTAGTCTTGGGAAGGCTGAGTGTTTACTGGGCTTGTCTTCTTGTAGGATAATCTTGGAGATCGAAGAGCCAGCCTCCAACCACAACGGGGGCCAGCTGCTCTTCGGGGACGACGGGTACCTCTACATCTTCACCGGGGACGGCGGGATGGCGGGGGACCCCTTCGGAAAGTTCGGGAACGCTCAGAACAAGTACGTGCGCTTTGGCCGCGCTGCTGTGGGTTTACACTCCCGGCTCCTCACGCTCCGTGGGTGCTGTTGCTGCTTCCTCAGCCGAGCAATGCAGGGCAGTAAGACAGGCTCAGGTGCAGACCCAGCCTGCAGCCGGCGGGGCACCTGGGCCGGTCACTCGTGGCCCTGGGCCGGAGGGGACTCAGAACCTCCGCAGGGCTGCAGCAGGAGGCGGGAAGAGACTGCAGTGCCCAGGGGTAAAGCTCTGGGAAGCAGGGGCTTTCTCTAAGACCCGCCCAGCCCTCCGGGTGCAGCCAAGGGAGGCCCCCAGACCCGGTGGATTTCTACACCAGGGGACCCTCTGAGACCCTGGCACAGCCTGGCCTGACCAAACAGCCTGTGCTTGAGCGCTCCTTCCGTACGTGCATGTGCACACGCACACACTCACATGCACACGCTCCCACACAAGAGCACAGTGCGCACACATCACACACTCACAGGGACACACACATCTGCGCATACAGAGACCTGGGAATGTAAACAAGGGGTTTCCAGTCAGCCCCTTCTGTCCCCACAGCCAAAAATGACACAGCCTCCCTCGGCCCAGAAAATAAAAATAGCAAAGACGAGGTGGATGACAGTCATTAACACACAAATAACCTCGCCCCTCGCGCCTTCCGGGTGCCACAGGGCGCGCGTCCCCCCAGCACAAGCTTGCAGTGTGTTTGGAGGTGAAGTCGGGAAAATAGAAATTAAGGACTTGTAGATAATTGGATGGAATGTAAAACGTTGTTTTGCTGCCATGCCAGGAGGCTTTGCCCATGGACACCCTGAAGCCCAGGGTGAGCTGGTGGCTGGGGATGGGGTGACGGGAGCCCCCGGAGCTGGAGGCCAGTAGCAGGGGTGAGCCATGGGGCATCTCCTGGGGGGAGGAGCATTTAATCAGTGTGAACAAGGCCGTTTGTGCAGTGTCTCTAGCGATGCTGGTGCAGTGTGAGCATGACAGATGCACAGTTGTGTCACTGTCACCCTGGAGGGGGTGACCCACCAGCCCGTAAGTGGGTGCATCAGACACCAGGGCCGTGTTCCCCGCCACACTGACTCAAGCATATAACAGATTTTCCAGGGCTGGGGATTTAGCTCAGCGGCAAAGCGCCTGCCTGGCAAGCGCAAGGTCCTGAGTTCGGTTCCCAGTACCGGAGAAAAACAAAATAAAACAAAACAAAACAAAACAAAACAGATTTTCCCATCTGTCCCTCTTGGCCTGTGACGGGTGAACCCCGAAGCTGCTCACCCCCAGCGCTGCGTGGAGCTAGCGCTGCCCCCCTGGCTGCCCTCCCCAGCCCTCGTGGCTGCTCTGTTTGTCCCCCTCGGCTTGGATGCTAAAGTACTCCTTCATGGGTACCTGATGCTCCCCTGCTGAGCGCCGCTCAGCAGGCTGGGACTGGAGGGAACTTGATACGTGCTGGTTTCCTAGCAGAGTCCACATCCATCAGCACAGTCCTGACCAGGCAGGGCTGAGTGGGACCCTCTGCTAATACCACGCAGGACAGCGAGGTGCCGTAGAACATCCCAGCAGAGCCTGGGGTTAGCCCAGCTTGGGTGACTTAGCAAGACCCTGGTCCCAAATAACAACTGAGAGCTGGGCACGCTGGCACATGCTTGTAATCTTAGCATTGGGAAGGCTGAAGCAGGAAGATCACCACGAGTTTGAGGACCTCCTGGGCTACATAGTGAGTTCGAGGCCAGCCTGAACTATAACAGCGAGACCCCGTCTCAAAAAACCAAATAAATAGATTAATAATCATAATAAATGAGAAAAGGACAGGATATAACTCAGTGTAGAGGCCCTGGGTCCACCCCTAGCATTGTACCATGGAAGAGAGAGAGAGAGATTGGGTTTCTGGGGCCAGCCGCCTGGGCTGGGCTCCAACCGCCCCATTTACTAGCAGGTAGCATTCTTTGGCCTCTCCTGAGCTCAGTGGCCCGGTCTGTAAAATGGGCCTAGGCCACGTGCTCGGCCACACCCTGGCAGCTCCCGCCCGCCCGCAGGTCGGCTCTGCTGGGCAAGGTGCTGCGTATCGACGTGGAGCGCCCGGCATGGGGACCGCCCTACCGCGTGCCGCCCGACAACCCCTTCGTGGGCGACCCCGCGGCGCGCCCCGAGGTCTGGGCCCTGGGCGTGCGCAACATGTGGCGCTGCTCCTTCGACCGCGGCGACCCGGCGACCGGCGCGGGCCGGGGGCGTCTCTTCTGCGGTGACGTGGGCCAGAACAAGTTCGAGGAGGTGGACCTGGTGCAGCGCGGCCGGAACTACGGCTGGCGCGCGCGCGAGGGCTTCGAGTGCTACGATCGCCAGCTGTGCGCCAACAAGTCCCTTGGTGAGGTCCTGCGCCGGCCCCGCCCCTGGGCTGTGGACCCCCGCCCCACCCCCAGCCCGCCCTTGCCCCTCACCTTCGATGCCCCCTGGGCCCTGCAAGACCCTCTCCCCCCATCCCGCCCCGTCTCCTGTCCCGCGTGGCCTGGGACACCCACTAGGCTTCGAGGGGCGCTGGGCCACCCCACCACCACCCCCCGGCGTCCAGAGCTGACCCCCGCGGCCAGCCCCGTGTCTCTCCACGCTGCAGACGATGTGCTGCCCATTTTTGCCTACCCACACAAGCTGGGCAAGTCGGTCACCGGGGGCTACGTGTACCGCGGCTGCGAGAACCCCAACCTGAACGGCCTCTACATTTTTGGGGACTTCATGAGCGGGTAGGTTGCCCTGGGCACCCCAGACGGCTGCGTCCGCTCCCTGGGCCTGTGGTGAGGGAGCGTGTGCGTGTGTGCGTGTGCGCATGTGTGCGTGTACATGCGGGTGCACACCTGCTCTGACCCCGGTCCCCGGTGGACCGAGGGAGCACCCCGCCCCGCCCCTGCCCCGCCCCCTCCTTGGGCTCCAGGCGACCTGCCCTGTGAGGGCACCCTCACTTCAGGGGCCACCCAGCCCCCAGCCTGCTTTCTGGTGGGCACGGCCAGAGCTCAGCAGTCTCTCCTGTGCCCTGGGCCGCCCCATCACTACCCACCCAGCCAGCGGCACGGGGACCTTGGTGCAAGGTCCCTCGAAAGTGAGGAAACTGAGGCCAGAGAGGGGTTGCCTGTTTGGGGTCCCCTGGTGGGAGGAGGGAGCCAGGGTTGCCGTCCACGCCTGACTCCTGCTCTGGAGCAGGGCCCGCACTGCGGGGAGGACAAGCTGCACCCTGGCAGGCTCTAGGGAGAGGGTGGGGAGGACGGCAGGCCTCCTGAGCCCTCAGGGGACAGGCTGCACCCTCAGGGAAGCATATGGAGCCCCTTGACCACCTTGTCCCCTAGAAAACTGAGGCCCAGGGAAGCCTGGTGCCTGGCAGCTGTTGAAGGCTGTGGAGCTGGGAGGGGACCCAGGCCTAGGCCCTGGGATCCTGCAGCTGCCTCCCGGTTCTTGGGCATGTCTGTCCTTGGGCCTCAGCTTTCCTATCTGTGAAATGGGTCTAGCGAAGCCTCTGTTTTTACCCTGATCCTCCTCCCCCAGGAGTGCTGAAGTCACCTGACTACAGAATCAACTGATTTCCCCCATATTCCCCAGGCCCCTCTGTTGGGTCAGGTGAGGGTTGAGCCAGGGCAGCAGAGGTAAAGAGCTGCTCAAGTCTGAGTGGGGAACACCCAGGCTGGATCCTCAGTCCTGTGGCCTTAGAGAGCCTGTGCCCAGGGTGAGAACCCGGCGGGTGCAGTCTGGGAGGGCCTCCGGGAGGAGGGGACCCTGAGCAGGGCCTGACAAACAGAGATGGGAGTAGGCCCAGGACGCCCAGGCTCCTGCTCTGGAGATGGTGCCAAAGGACGCGCACACTCCTGCCCCCGGCCTCGGGGCTCTGACAGGGAGTCAGCGCCCCACAGCGTGGGGGCCACTGCTGGCCTGAGCTGAGGGCAGGGGCAGGCTGGTCTTGTGCGTCGCTGGGTCTCTCGGGCAGGTGGTCTGTGAAGATCACATCCAGCCAGCTTGCTGGACATGTAACCCTCCAGGTCATGGGGTATCCCTCGGTATCCCTGTCCGGAACCCTTGGTCATTTCTGGACAGATGCACACACGCTTTGCACCGACCCTGCGAGTGAGGTGTGGTCCCGGAGTGGGTGGACGGAGGGACGGACGGACCAAGGGACGGAGGGATGGGCACGATCTTGAAGCTCCTCTTCCCTCGTAGGCGTCTCATGTCCCTCCGCGAGAACCTGGAGACGGGCCAGTGGCGGTACAGTGAGATCTGCATGGGCCGCGGGCGGACCTGCGCCTTCCCGGGGCTCATCAACAGCTACTACCCACACATCATCTCCTTCGCGGAGGACGAAGCCGGTGAGCACTTCCGGGACCTCCCAGCCGGCTGTCTGGGCCTGGCCTGGTTCCCTGCTGCCCAGTGAAGGCTGGACTGCCTGGCGAGCTCCTGGTGACCTTCGCCCCAGAGAGGCCCGAGTGTGGCGCCCTCGGGCAAGGCCCAGCCCCCGTGCCACTTGCGCAGGGTCACTGTGAGGGGCCGGGGTGGTGGTGACAAACATGCCTGGGCCCTTCCTCACAGCCACGCTGCCATTTCAAAGTGGGGACACAGTCTGCTTGCCCGTGGGTGCGCCCCACATCTGGGCACTTGTGCTTCCAGTGCAGCAGCAGGGCGGGTGAGGGGAGCGGGTCCCACGCCAGCCTCCGCCTTTGTGCTTGGCCCAGGACTGCCCCCCAACAAAAGCCCACGGCCCCCAGCGGGCCCTGCGGGATGCTTGTTGGGGTTTCTAGGCAACACCCGCCGGGACCTTTGGAGGGGTGTCCCTGACAGGGCCCGGTGCCCGGAGCCCCAGGGCGAGTCTGGGAAGCCTGTGTGGAGCCGACAGAGTGCTTGGCCCCTGGGCCCTTGAGGGCCCCTTCTGTTGGTCAGGAGGGCATGAACTCGTGTCAGAAGCAAGGTCCCCCCCTCCTCACCCAGGTGCGGGCCTGGAAGGAAGGCGCAGCTCTGCAGGGCTCTTCCTCCGTCCCCTGAGGGACACAGAGGGATGGAAATCCAGGCGATGCCTGTGAGCTGCCTGCCCAGCACCAGCGCTGGCCCAGGAAGGTCCCAATGCATCCTGGGGTTCAGCGGGAGAAAAACCGGGTTCCGCTCCCTGGGGCAGCTTTCACTTCTCTAGATCTCACACTTGCAAGCTGCAAACCAAGGCCCGAGGCCAGCCCTAGGCCCTCCAGGGAGGGCTACATGTGGGACTCCTGTGGCCGGGGCAGGTGTGGCAGCGTGAGCAGGGCCAGCCCCTCGCGAGCACAGCGCCAGGGCCGGCTCTCAGCGGGTGCGGGGAGAAGCCCCAGAGCCGGCTGCTCCCATCCAGTCTGCCACGCCTGGGCCCTGGGGCTGCCTGGTCATGCCTGGCGATGAGGGTGGCACTGGTAGTGACCGAGTGCTGGTAGTGACTGAGCGCTGGTACTGACTAAGCACTGGTGCTGACTGAGCGCTGGTACTGACTAAGCGCTGGCACTGACTAGGCGCTGGTACTTACTAAGTGCTGCTCTGCTCCTTCAGTCTGAGTTGGCCTCAGAGGCAAAGCCCATCGGAAAAACAGGAAGCGGAGGCTCTGAGAGCCCCAGTGGGGAGCCGTGGCCCCCATTCCTGCCCCAAGGTGTGTGGTGCTGGGCAGGGGCCACCAGGAAGGAGCACCAGGAAGGGCAGGCTGGGGACAGAGCTGCAGAGGCCCGCGGGCCTGCGCAGACGGCTCTCCCAGCCTCAGTTTCCAGGATGGGGCCGGACCTCAGGCGGTCCCGGCGCGCCCAGGTTGGGTCAGTCTCCAAGCGGGGAAGGTGGTGCCGGCCGAGGGGCCTGGGCCTGTGTGTGCCACAGCACTCTCACTGTCGCCCTGTCTGCCGTAAGGGGAGCTGTACTTCCTGTCCACGGGCGTGCCGAGTGCCACTGCGGCCCATGGCGTCATCTACAAGGTGATCGACCCATCCAGGTGAGTCCCTGGCACGGCCGGCCCTGGGGAGGGGCGGGTCTGGGGCGCGAGGTGGGGGCCGCCTGCCCCAATCAGGGGCAGCTCTGTGTGGACAAGAGCATGCTGCTGAGATGGGGCCTAGGCCTGCCCACCTCCCGGGCATCTGACTGGCAGGTCCCTGGTCCCTCCACCTCCTGGGGAGCTCCATCCTTCACCCTGTGGCCCCTGACTGGCCTCGCAGATACATCCCAGGCGCAGGGTCTGCACTTCCCCGGGGCTGCTGGCTGGAGCCTGACGGCGCCCATGTCCTTGGGCTTCCCTCCAGAGGCGGGGGCCCCGCCTGGGCTGCTTCCAGGCAGAGCTCACTGATTCCCAGCGCCCTCTGTACCAGGGCAGAAATGAGCACAAAGATATGAAGTCCAGGGCTGGGGGCCCATCCAGGCTGGAGCTGCAGTGGGTGCAGGCGGCTGGCATCGGGGCCCCGCCCTGCTTCTGGCTGCGAGCTGCTCCCCTCCAGGCCTCCCCGAAATGGCTGCACCTCTGGCCCATCCGGCTGTCTCTCAGCTCTCAGATTTGGGATCTTCCCACCACACAGCCGTGCTCCACTGGCTGGGAGTCTCAGGACCAGCTGTATCTCCTCACCCCACGCAGGCCTTGGGATGGCCTGGAGCAGGGACTCAGGAATGTTTGATGAATGAGTGAATGATTGTTTTTCTAAATTTGTTCCAGCCCTTCTTGGCTGACTTTCCCCACGAGTCTGTACACATTCACAGCTGGGGGAGACCCCCGATGTGTCCCCCAGCACAACACCCTTGGCTGCCCTCCACGGGTCATTCATGCTCGGCAGAGCGGGGAAGACCCTGCTGTGCCTAGCTGCCCTAAACCTGGAGACACACTAGGTGCAGGAAAGCCCTGAAACACCTAGAGCTCTTGAAAAACTTTTTTTTTTTTTTTTTTAGCTTGTAATAGTTTTAGATAAACAGGTTGCAAAAAAACACCCCACACCCGGCATCTTCTGCTGTTCACATCTCATCACAAAACATTTGCCACCATTAGTGAGCTAAAATGTCTAAGTTACTAATAACTAAACCCTTTGGGGTTTTTTTTTTGTTGTTGCTGGTTTGCTTTGAGACAGGATCTCACTGTGTAGTTCAGCGGGCCTCAAGTTCTTGGCAATCCTCCTGCCTCAGCCTCCCGGGTGCTGGGATTACAGACATGCGTCACCACGTCCCACAGCTTTTCAGTCTTTTTAAAAGTACTCTGGTTGTTCCCTCCTGCCCTTTTTATTTACCCGAGGATCCCGTCCAGGATCCCACATTACTTTTCATCACCGCGTCTCCTCAGCATCCTTTGGTCTCTCTCTGCGACAGTGTCTCACATTTTCCTTGTTGACCAAAGTGTGTTTTTTTTTTAATTATAAAAAGTACAGATACATTAAATAACGACCTGTTTCTCAAGGAAAATGTGAGCACCTCTCCTCCTGTCCCTCCCTTCCATCTCCCTGAGGCCGGTCGCTTGCCTTGGGGACCCAGGCCTCTCTCAAGGCTCTTGGGCCACGCGCAGACTCTGCACCCTCCACCCACCCCCTCCCTGTTGTTACAAACTTTTCCATGTCGCAAGCTCGACCCTCAGAGGGACCTTTCTGCTGAGTCACCCAGCCATAAATGCCTCGCCTGCTCCTTGGAGTTTGAGGTTATTTGCACTTTTTCTTTTTCAAAGGACGCTTCTCTAAGGAAGTAGCACATCTGTCAAGCGCCTGATCACGCCAGATGCTGTCGTGGGTGCGTCTGTCTCCCCCTCAGCTCCCCGTCCCCCACAGAGAATGGGGCCTGAGAGACTGTGGGCTTCTCGCGCCCCGGCCTGGGCTCGCGGCCATCCCTGTGGCTTTGAGAGGCCAGTGTGCCTCGCTGGGCCTTTGCCTTTGGGAGAAAAGCCCGCGTCCCCTCCCGTCCGGACGCCACCCCGCGTCACGTGGCTGCCCCCACTCTGAGCTGACGCAGCCCTATTGAAGTGCTGGGCCCCGTGAGCCGGGCTGGGAACAGGCCGGTCCCATTCAAAGAGCCTTAGATTGATAGCCAAAAACTAATTAAAATGGCATCCCGTTCCTTCCTTGCGCCCCCAAGGATGTCAGAGGCCACTTCACGCCCTGGCAGCCCTTCTTACACTCTTTTCTCCGGCGGTTCTCTCAAGCCCAGCCCCCAGCTCGGCCCGGCCAGGGGCTTCAGAGAAGCCGTCCCCTTCCTCAGCTCCCACAGAAACCCGGGGAGGGAGGCCCTCCTCAAAGCCAGGGGTTGGAGGGCGAGGGGCAGGGCAGGAATCATGCCGCCCTGGGAGTGGACTGAGCCAGAGGTGGCCTCGAGTCAGCGGCCACGGTGCAGCCCCACCCAAGGTTGGAGTAGGACCTACATGTCCAGGAGCTGGGCTCTTTCTTAGTATCCTGTGGGCCTGAAGCGGGCAAGGGTGCCACAGAGCCGCCTGTCATTCGCGATCTGGTCCTCCTCTCCCCAGCCCATACCTGCTGTGGGGCGGGGTGGGTGTCAGCCACCCGGAGACTCGTGACCTCTTCTCTCTCGTTGGCAGACGAGCACCACCCGGCAAGTGTCAGATCCACCCCGCCCCAGTGAAAGTGAGAAGCCGCCTCATCCCCTTCGTGCCCAAAGAAAGTAAGTGCCCACTGACGGGTTCACTGGGGGGGAGAGGGTTCCCACAGCACCCCCAGCTCCCCCTCCAGCCAGGCTGCAGCCCTTCCTTGGCCCCTGGGCCCAGAAGCGTTCCTGGCACACATTTGACACTTAGTTAAGGTGGATGGAAGTGCATCTACCGTGAGCCTTGCTAGATTGACCGTGACTCAAACCAGGTCCTCGGCCATGGGCAGGTGGCTGCCAGGGACTGCTGGCCTCAAGGAGGGCACAGCAAGAGGAAGAAAAGCTGTGCCCAGAAAGGAGTGCTCAGAGCTCCTGGGAGAGACTGAGAGAGGGGGTCTGTGTTGAGCAAGGCAGACTGAACTACTGGGGCTGGGGTAGCTAAGTCCATCCCTCTACCCACCCGTCTGTCCGTGTGTGTTAGCGTTCCCATTGCTGACATACAGTACCTACCACCCACAGTTTAAAATAGGAGAGGTTTAATTTGGCTTATGGTTCAGGTGATCCAGTCCATGGTTGGCTGGCTCCAAAGGTGAAAATATCATGGTGAAAGGGCAGGGAGGAGGACAGCTTCTTACCCCACTGCAGCCAGAGCTCAAAGGCAGACCCCAAGTGACACACCCGTTCCCACCAGACCCTGCCTCCTAGTAAGACATTTAGCTATGAACTGTCAGTCCACTGAGGAATATAGCATGGCTGTGATCTAATCACTTTCCAAAAGCTGCCCTTTTGAATGCACAAGACTTCTGGGGAGCATTCTAGACCTAAACCATAACACCATGCAGCTATCTACCCACCCTTCCTTCCATCCACCCATCATTCATCCATCCATCCACTCACTCACCCCACCCCATCCATCCACCCATCCATCCATCCATCCATCTATCCACCTGCCCACTGCTGTGATACTACCATCCATCCACACCTACCACCACCACATGCCTTGCACACACAGGGAACATTGGTCCTGAGCAAGATGACCATGGTCCTTGTCTTCTCAGGTTGTTACATGTAATCTTCCAGCTTGAAAACACTGACAACTAGTTTACAATTTTAAGAGCTACTGCCTCAGGAACTATTTTCACAGGCCCAGTGTGCCCGCAGGTCACTAGGTTGGGGGAGGTGGGCACCTGGGCAGAAAGGCCTGGCTCCTGCCCCGGATAGTGGCAGGCAGGGGAGGGGAGATGGCATTTCAGAGGCCACTGCTGGCTGCAGTTGGTTTTGGGCTTGGCAAGTTCTCCATCCACTCATTGAGCAGCGCCTGGCACTTGTGTTTGTCACCCAGTCTGCACTGGAGCTGAGCCACTGGGAGAGGTCAGCCCAGCCCCGTCCTGGCTGGGCCAGACCGAGAGGCGATTTAGTGTCCCAGGCCCTGTGGGTCCCCAGCCTGGGCAGCGGCGGGGGGTCCTGGGGCCTAGAGAGAAGAGGAGGGGGTGCCGTGGGGCAGGATGGGGGCTGGGCTGGGGCAGGTCGGGGAGCCCGGGCAGAGGAGCAGCAGCACCTGCAGGAGGACAGGCATGGCCCTGTGGGTGGAATGGAGCCCCCTGTGGCACTGTGCCCGGGCCTGGCCTGCACTCGGCCTCTTTCCGAGAGGCATTTCTCAGGCCATCCCAGTGGCTTTCAAAGCAGGGTAGGGACTCAAAAGGATTTGGGCTGGTGGCCCCAGGAACCCCCATAGGAAGTGACTAGCCTGGGGATCAGCCCTCCTCTGAGCCCCTCACGGAGAGCAGTGCCCAGGCCTGGTATGGCACCCAACAGTAAGGCTGGACTGCGCGCAGGCCTGACGCGCAGAGGTTCATCCCTGTGTACGACGCAGGCCAGACATGTCCACACGGCCCGCGGGCACAGAGTCACCCAGCCCCACGCACCAGCACCTGCTGCACCCAGGCCCCGGGTTGGGGTACACGGGGTGCCCCCCCTGCCCCTCTTTCCCCATCCACTCCGGTCAGCGTGGGCAGAGCCAAGCCCCTGAGAGCTGCATCCCGACTCCCAGTGTGACAGGTGCCAGGCCAGCAGCTTGGAGCCTGGAGGAGAGAGGCCCCCTGGCCCCCACAGGTCCCGTTGCCGTCCTGCTGGCCAGGACCACCTTGGATCCTTATTTCTCGCCCGCTGTGGCCTCCTACGCCCCAAACCAACAAGTGAATGAAGAGAGGTCCCTTTGCTCTTAGAAGCTCTTTAGACAGAATGGGGCTGTCTCCTCCACCGCCTGGGGACCCCAGGAGCCAGGGCCGGGGGTGGGGCAACCCAGTATCCAAGCAGCTTCCAGGACTGTTTGCTGAATGACTGAAGAAGCGCCTGGCACGCAGCCCCAGGCGGGCATCATAAGGGCCCAGGGTGACCAGAAAAGGCCCCATGCTGCTCTAAGAGGCGCTGCCCCCTTCAGGGTCCCAGCGGGGGGCAGGTGGAGGACACCTTTCCCTGGGGTCCACCTTCCTGCCCAGACTGGGAGGCTGCAGGGATGAGGCGAGGAGCCGGGCGGGCAGCTGGGGTCCCTCTGCCCACTTGTATTTCCTCTGTGCAGAGTTCATCTGGACTCCCGAGAGCACCCCGAGCCCCACAAAGCGCACGCCCACCAAGGCGCCTCGCCGCAGCCGCCCCACGGCCCCTGCA